TGTGCAGGGTTCATACACGGTATTGTACACGGTTCATACAAGGATTGAAATACTTCTTTTAATAATTTTCAAAATTTTCATTAAAAATTTCATAAACAGAAAAAATATCTTACTAGTGTTTGAAGACAAGGGGAAGTAAATCTTACATTTAAAACATTTTAAAACTGTATGTATTTATCATTTATGAGTACTCGAAAGCCCGCTAATATTTGACCAATAAAAAAACATCAGACATTTAAAAGGCATAAATGATATTGATATTTTAATAATGCATACCTCATCTGTAGTAGTTAAAAAAGATATTGTGACATGGCATATAAAAAAATTGAGCATTGAAAATACTTCCGTAATAGGGAAAATATATGTGGATATAGTTTAAAATTGTTCGGCATCCGTTGAGACAACGAGGATCCTAAAATGCATATTTATCCCAGATATCTAAACTTCAGTGCGTCCAACAGTGTTTATGATATAACCTTTAATTATCAATTTCTTCACATTTGACCAGCAACTCACCCCATGCGTTTTCTGAACAGATGACCATCAGACAAGAAATCAATTTCGCTTCCCTAGCGACCCCTTCATTACAAATTCGAGCTCTCGAGTTAAGCGGCCGACTATTTGTTTGGGTCGTCAGACCAAACAAATAATGGTAGCGAAATTTCAGAGTCTAATGCTGTTAATTGCAAATGCCGAAAGTAGTCCATTTTTTTGAAGCGGTTACTTCCCTTTATATGTACACTAACGCCGAAAAATTCAGGGGAGATCACTGCGTAAAGATGGTCAAAGACAGACGCAATAATTTTCAAGCAAAATAATTCCCGAATGGTCGAAGATTTTTAATATTGTTTTATTGTATTTTATGATAGAAAATAAGTAAATACAAAGCGGACATTCAATCTCTGACACAGAAGTTTACGACAAACCTAACAACAAGTAGTTCTCAAAACAGCTTAAAACTAGCGATTTAAAAGAAAGAAATATTTTTATTTTGTTAGAAGTATCCAACAAATTACAACGCATTCAAAGTTTAAAAATAGCGTTAACTTAAAGAATTGTCAATAAATGCACAATCACAAATTACGCGGATGAATATGATTTTATCAATGAAAATACTATTTTTAGCGATGTCGATTACCGAATACTACACAAACCGAGTAGTGGAATATATAGATTCTACATGTCGGACTGTTTGGGTGAGAAGATTTTCACTAAATTATTTACTTCAATTTTAAACAACAGGTTTATCCTGAACACAATACCTCGAAAATAATAAGGATTACAAACCCGAAATGCAATGGAAGTTCTAAATTTAGAATGACTTGATGTTATTCAGCCCTTGTTTGTATAACTTCTCCGTGGTGCAGGGGTAACGCGCTCGCTTAGTGAGTGAGAGGTCTGGAGTTCGAGGAAACTTTTCTTCTTTTTTTTATTCTTTTTTAAGTGTCTTTGTTAAGGAAGTAGCCATGATATATAATGGATACAGTACGAGTTTTTCTTCAAAAGTGTCTTCTTACAGACGTAAGAAGACAGTTTCCTAGGATAAACAACAAATTGTCCGAGGCGAAGCCGAGGATAAATTGTTGTTTGTCCTAGCGAACTGTCTTCTTCACGTCTGTAAGAAGACACTTTTGAAGAAAAATCCGACTTATACGACATTTAAGTGTAAAGAACAGATAAATTAATAAACACATTTAATTATAAACAGTAAATGTTAGTTTTGTCAATCCTAAAATTAACAGTTACAATGTTCTTGGAAATGGCCATCAAATTTATTTGATTCATTTCTCGATGAACTGAATTTACCCATGAGTTGCGCTATCTGGTTCGCTACAGTTTTCCGTCAGTTTCTATGGTGTCCTGTTTGAGGCAGTTAAAATATCGCCTGTTACAATTTAAATTTTACTAAATCTCTTGTTTTAGCTCGACTACTCACAAAATAGAGAGCTATTGTAATTGTGAATTCTTAGAGAACTACGGCAATTTTTGAAGATAAAAAAATCTATATTATTCAGGCTCTTGTTTTACTATCAAGCGCTGAGACTAAGTTATGTGCGGTTAAGGACTGATTTTTCAGTATTCACAACTATATTTCTATTTGTTTGATTCGGATATCCGGATGGCCGTTTCGGCTCCAGATGACATTCCTAATTTCTATTGCGTTACTAACGCAGTAAGGCACATCTATGCATATTTTGACTACTTTCTGGTTATTTACGTGGGCTGCAAGTGTCATTGATAATGTGTAAATTGCTCCCTTTATATTAAACATTCAGACACATTTTCAAAATTTTCATGAAAAGTAGCATGGATCTGGAGGCGTGCTGCTTTAATCATCGCGAAGACTTTTACATTTTGATTCGCACCAGGATTTAAGTATGTGAAAGTATAAGCATGAGACAAATTCAACGTTGTATAGCGCGAAAAGTTTCTTGCGAGAATGTAAAATAATGCCACTTTTTCTTTGAAAATACAGAAAGAGGGGTAAGACTTTAGAAAAAAATAGCATGTCAATAGGAGACCTTCAACTGGCCCAAGCAGGACACCGTATATTTCAACTGTATTTAATCCACGTGGAAAGTAACGGTTATTTAAAAGTGTCTTCTTACAGACGTGAGAAGACACTTTTTGAATAGCTCTACTGGGGGTATAGTCGTATAAGCAAGGACAAAGTGTGGCTGTCGTAAAAAATAAACATAAATGATTTTTTGGTGCAACTCTAGTTATGCAGAATTCCGTATGTATCAAACTCTGGTGCCTTGCAAAATGAATTATAATACATAAAAATAAACTTATACAGGAAAATACATACAGATATACAGTACGAACAGAAAATACCACAGAACTTGCAGCCCTTTGATTCTTTATAAATATACATGCTTTTAGTGAGCTCCAGGATTATTTACATCTGTGTTAAACAACAGTTAAAGTCGTTACAAGCCCTAATTTAGAATAATATGGTTTTCTTCAGGCCGTTCACATATAAATTCACCGTGGCTGAAGGGTTTTCGCGCTCGCTTAGGAGGCGAGAGGTCTGGAGTTCAAATCCCAGTAAAGGCAACTCATTTGTTTCAATTTGTTTAAGTCATATAAACATTGGATTGAATATCAGTGTTGCAATTAGTATTATAGCCAATTTACTACAATTAAAACGTTCGAAAGCATTGGTGGCACTATAGAGCGGGTTCGGGTTCGTTTAAATGAAAATCAAATGCATCTGGGGACACAATCCATTAATAACACTTACAAGTAAGATGTACAATGTGTTTTTTTCCAGTTTAAGAGCCAATATCAACAAAAGTTAACAACAGATAATGTTAGCAAGTATTGTGTTACAATGTAAGGATGTAGTTTAAAGGTGTTAAAACGATGACTTCAAATATATTTTTCAAAAAATAAAACTCACCTTGGGCAGCGTCTGCAAAAAAATTACCGGAAGTAGAAAGGGGTGTGCTTGATTTCATAATTCTGAGTTAAAATCTCAGAACAATGTTCATTTAACACGAAAATATGACAGTGTTCAGAAACTACCACGTGTTCAGAAATACCCTAACCCGCTCTACATATAATCTCACAACCTGTACCTTTCTTACATTCTGAGACCCAAACAAATTCAGCGCCTTCTGTGCTTTGATTTATGTATTTGCGTTAACTACTCATATTAGTGTCCACATTTGAAATTCTGGAGATTCGAAATTAAACAAGTAGAAGCTGTAAATGAATCATTAACAACTCGTTATCACCTACATATTGTCTGATGTTAGACTCGTTATCATCTACGTATTGTCTGATATTAGACTCGTTATCATCTACATATTGTCTGATGTTAGACTCGTCGTCATCTACATATTGTCTGATGTTAGGCTCGTCGTCATCTACATATTGTTTTTAGACTCGTTATCATCTACATATTGGCTGATGTTAGACTCGTTATCATCTACATATTGTCTGATATTAGACTCGTTATCATCTACATATTGTCAGATGTTAGACTTGTTATCATATGCATTTTCTCCTATGTTAGACTTGTTATCATCTACAAATTGTCTGGTGCTTGACTCATTATCATCTACATATTGTCAGGTGTTATACTCGTTATCGTCTACATATTGTCTGATATAAGACTCGTTATCAGCTACATATTGTCTGATGTGAGACTCGTCGTCATCTACATATTGTCAGGTGTTAGACTCGTTATCATCTACATATTGTCTGATGTTAGACTCGTCGTCATCTACATATTGTCTGATGTTAGACTCGTCGTCATCTACATATTGTTTTTAGACTCGATATCATCTACATATTGTCTGATGTTAGACTCGTTATCATCTACATATTGTCTGATATTAGACTCGTTATCATCTACATATTGTCTGATGTTAGACTCGTCGTCATCTACATATTGTCGGGTGTTAGACTCGTTATCGTCTACATATTGTCTGATATAAGACTCGTTATCATCTACATATTGTCAGATTTTAGACTCGTTATCATCTGCATTTTCTCCTATGTTAGACTTGTTATCATCTACAAATTGTCTGGTGTTTGACTCATTATCATCTACATATTGTTTGATGTTAGACTCGTTATCATCTACATATTGTCTGATGTTAGACTGGTTATCAGCTACATATTGCTGATGTTAGACTCGTTATCATCTACATATTGTCTGATGTTAGACTGGTTATCCTCTACATATTGTCTGATGTTAGACTGGTTATCATCTACATATTGTCTGATGTTAGACTCGTTATCCTCTACATATTGTCTGATGTTAGACTTGTTATCATCTACATATTGTCTGATGTTAGACTCGTTAATCAATCTACATATTGTCTGATGTTAGACTCGTTATCATCTACATATTGTCTGATATTAGACTCGTTATCATCTACATATTGTCTGATGTTAGACTCGTCGTCATCTACATATTGTCGGGTGTTAGACTCGTTATCGTCTACATATTGTCTGATATAAGACTCGTTATCATCTACATATTGTCAGATTTTAGACTCGTTATCATCTGCATTTTCTCCTATGTTAGACTTGTTATCATCTACAAATTGTCTGGTGTTTGACTCATTATCATCTACATATTGTTTGATGTTAGACTCGTTATCATCTACATATTGTCTGATGTTAGACTGGTTATCATCTATCATATTGTCTGATGTTAGACTCGTTATCCTCTACATATTGTCTGATGTTAGACTTGTTATCATCTACATATTGTCTGATGTTAGACCCGTTATCATCTACATATTGTCTGATGTTAGACTGGTTATCATCTACATATTGTCTGATGTTAGACTCGTTATCCTCTACATATTGTCTGATGTTAGACTTGTTATCATCTACATATTGTCTGATGTTAGACTTGTTATCATCTACATATTGTCTGATGTTAGACTGGTTATCATCTACATATTGTCTGATGTTAGACTGGTTATCATCTACATATTGTCTGATGTTAGACTGGTTATCAGCTACATATTGTTTGATGTTAGACTCGTTATCATCTACATATTGTCTGATGTTAGACTGGTTATCAGCTACATATTGTCTGATGTTAGACTCGTTATCATCTACATATTGTCTGATGTTAGACTTGTTATCATCTACATATTGTCTGATGTTAGACTGGTTATCATCTACATATTGTCTGATGTTAGACTGGTTATCATCTACATATTGTCTGATGTTAGACTCGTTATCATCTACATATTGTCTGATGTTAGACTTGTTATCATCTACATATTGTCTGATGTTAGACTCGTTATCATCTACATATTGTCTGATGTTAGACTGGTTATCAGCTACATATTGTTTGATGTTAGACTCGTTATCATCTACATATTGTCTGATGTTAGACTGGTTATCAGCTACATATTGTCTGATGTTAGACTCGTTATCATCTACATATTGTCTGATGTTAGACTTGTTATCAATCTACATATTGTCTGATGTTAGACTGGTTATCATCTACATATTGTCTGATGTTAGACTGGTTATCATCTACATATTGTCTGATGTTAGACTCGTTATCATCTACATATTGTCTGATGTTAGACTTGTTATCATCTACATATTGTCTGATGTTAGACTCGTTATCCTCTACGTATTGCCGGATGTTAGACTCGTTATCAATCTACATATTGTCTGATGTTAGACTCGTTATCATCTACATATTGTCTGATGTTAGACTCAATTATCATCTACATATTGTCTGATGTTAGACTCGTTATCATCTACATATTGTCTGATGTTAGACTCGTTATCGTCTACATATTGTCTGATGTTTAGACTGGTTATCATCTACATATTGTCTGATGTTAGACTCATTATCATCTACATATTGTCTGATGTTAGACTCGTCGTCATCTACATATTGTCTGATGTTAGACTCGTTATCATCTACATATTGTCTGATGTTAGACTCGTTATCATCTACATATTGTCTGATGTTAGACTCGTTATCATTTACATATTGTCTGTTGTTAAACACGTTATCATCTACGTATTGTCGGATGTTAGACCCGTTATCATCTACATATTGTCTGATGTTAGACTCGTCGTCATCTACATATTGTCTGATGTTAGACTCGTTATCATCTACATATTGTCTGATGTTAGACTCGTTATCATCTACATATTGTCTGATGTTAGACTCGTTATCCTCTACATATTGTCTGATGTTAGACTGGTTATCATCTACATATTGTCTGATGTTAGACTTGTTATCATCTACATATTGTCTGATGTTAGACTCGTCGTCATCTACATATTGTCTGATGTTAGACTCGTTATCCTCTACGTATTGCCGGATGTTAGACTTGTTATCATCTACATATTGTCTGATGTTAGACTCGTTATCATCTACATATTGTCTGATGTTAGACTGGTTATCATCTACATATTGTCTGATGTTAGACTCATTATCATCTACATATTGTCTGATGTTAGACTCGTTCGTCATCTACATATTGTCTGATGTTAGACTCGTTATCATCTACATATTGTCTGATGTTAGACTCGTTATCATCTACATATTGTCTGATGTTAGACTCGTTATCCTCTACATATTGTCTGATGTTAGACTGGTTATCATCTACATATTGTCTGATGTTAGACTCGTTATCATCTACATATTGTCTGATGTTAGACTCGTTATCCTCTACATATTGTCTGATGTTAGACTGGTTATCATCTACAAATTGTCTGATGTTAGACTCGTTTATCATCTACATATTGTCTGATGTTAGACTCGTTATCCTCTACGTATTGCCGGATGTTAGACTCGTTATCATCTACATATTGTCTGATGTGTTAGACTGGTTATCATCTACATATTGTCTGATGTTAGACTTGTTATCATCTACATATTGTCTGATGTTAGACTCGTTATCATCTACATATTGTCTGATGTTAGACTGGTTATCATCTACATATTGTCTGATGTTAGACTCATTATCATCTACATATTGTCTGATGTTAGACTCGTCGTCATCTACATATTGTCTGATGTTAGACTCGTTATCATCTACATATTGTCTGATGTTAGACTCGTTATCATCTACATATTGTCTGATGTTAGACTCGTTATCATCTACATATTGTTTGATGTTAGACTCGTTAAGATATACATTTTCTCTCATGTGAGACTTGTTATCATTTACATTTTGTCTGATATTAGACTCGTTATCATTTACATATTGTCTGTTGTTAAACTCGTTATCATCTACGTATTGTCGGATGTTAGACCCGTTATCATCTACATTTTGTCTGATATTAGACTCGTTATCATCTACATATTGTCTGTTGTTAAACTCGTTATCATCTACATATTGTCTGATGTTAGCCTCGTTATCAGTTACATATTGTCTGGTGTTAGAGTCGTTATCATCTACATATTGTCTGTTGTTAAGCTCGTTTTCATCTACATATTGTTTGATGTTAGCCTCGTTATCATCTACATATTGTCTGGTGTAAGACTCGTTATCGTCTACATATTGTTTGATATTAGACTCGTTATCGTCTACATATTGTTTGATATTAGACTCGTTATCATCTACGTATTATCTGATTTTAGACTCGTTATCAGCTACAAATTGTCTGATGTAAGACTCGTTATCATCTACATATTGTCTGATGTAAGACTCGTTATCTTCTACATATAACCTGATGTTGGACTCGTTTTCGTCTCCATGTTGTCTGATATTAGAATCGTTATCATCTACATATTGTCTGATGTAAGACTCGTTATCATCTACGTATTGCCTGATATTAGACTCGTTATCAGCTACATATTGTCTGATGTAAGACTCGTTATCATCTACATATTGTCTAATGTTAGACTCGTTATCATCTTCAAACCGTCTGATGTTATATTCGTTATCAGCTACATATTGTCTGATGTTTGACTCGTTATCATCTACTTATTGTCTGGTGTTAGACTCGTTATCGTCTACTTATTTCTGATGTTAGACTCGTTATCATCTACGTATTGTCTGATAATAGACTCTTTATCATCTTCAAACCGTCTGATGTTATATTCGTTATCATCTACATATTGTCTGATGTGAAACTCGTTATCAGCTACATATTGTCTGATGTAAGACTCGTTATCATCTACATATTGTCTGATGTTAGACTCGTTATCATCTTCAAACCGTCTGATGTTATATTCGTTATCAGCTACATATTGTCTGATGTTAGACTCGTTATCAATTATATATTGTCTAATGTTAGACTCGTTATCATCTACATATTGTCTGATTTTAGACTCGTTATCATCTTCATACCGTCTGATGTTAGATTCGTTATCAGCTACATATTGTCTGATGTTAGACTCGTTATCATCTACATTTTGTCTGATATTAGACTCGTTATCATCTACATATTTTCTGATGTTAGACTCGTTATCATCCACATATTGTCTGATGTAAGACTCGTTATCATCCACATATTGTCTGATGCTAGCCTCATTATCATTTACATATTGTCTGGTGTTTAACTCATTATCATCTACATAATGTCTGGTGTTAAACTCATTATCATCTACATAATGTCTGGTGTTAGTCTCGTTATCATCTACATATTGTCTGATGTTAGACTCGTTATCATCTACATATTGTCTGATGTAAGACTCGTTATCATCCACATATTGTCTTTGATGCTAGCCTCATTATCATTTACATATTGTCTGGTGTTTAACTCATTATCATCTACATAATGTCTGGTGTTAGACTCATTATCATCTATATAATGCCTGGTGTTAGACTCGTTATCATCTACATATTGTCTGATGTTAGACTCGTTATCATCTACGTATTGTCTGATGTAAGACTCGTTATCATCCACATATTGTCTGATGCTAGCCTCATTATCTTTTACATATTGTCTGGTGTTTAACTCATAATCATCTACATAATGTTTGGTGTTAGACTCATTATCATCTACATAATGTCTGGTGTTAGACTCCTTATCATCTACTTATTGTCTGATGTTAGACTCGTTATCATCTACATATTGTATGATGTTTGCCTTGTTATCATCTTCAAATTGTCTGATTCTAGCCTTGTTATCATCTACGTATTGTCTGATGTTAGACTCGTTATCATCTACATATTATCTGAAGTTAGACTCGTTATCATCTACAAATTGTCTGGTGTTAGACTCGTTATCATCTACATATTGTCTGATATTAGACTCGTTATCAGCTACAAATTGTCTGATGCAAGACTTATTTGATTTTAAAAGTTCTTAAACTAAAAAGAAGAAAACTGGTTTTATATGATTGACATTATTTAATTTGTATTTTGAATGTACTTTTTCAAAAATAATTTTCATAATCATTTGAACCTGGTTTAATTGAAAGTGACTTTAATTCATACCAGCACTATTGCTGGCATTGGGATCATTGATGCCAGCATTAAGTGTTGAGAATTGAGTACCGCTCAAGCCGGTGTTAGGGGGCGTGAGGGATGTTGCACTTATTCATTATCCCTCATGTACAGACTCAATCAAACCGAGTCTGCAATTCTTATGTAATTTTGTTGTGATTCCGAGGGATCACTTTGTTTCCAGATTTTTAAAATGTTCTCTTAATTGAAAGTACCGTGTTAGGTACAATGTGCTTTTAATTTACTTTAGTAGATTCTTTTTAACAATTTCGCATATCAAGATTTTTAAAAAGACATTATATCTAAATGATAAATTCATTTTTAGTTTCTTATAGATCGGCATATAAAGTATTTTGTATGTATTTTAATTGTGTACATTAATGAAACTAATAAACTTAAATAAGTATGTCATTGGTAATGATAAAGGGCAGAGTAAAGTATTGATTCTATCTGCAGTGGTAATTTATTATTTGCGTGGTAAATTTTTACATATGTCAGAAAATATTCTCCTTATTTATTTTCCAGAAAAAAAAATAGTTTTGGGAATTGCAACAACAACAACATCCTTTTATTTAGTTAATGGTAACAATTATATGACAACATACATTACAAAAGAAGTATTTGTTAACACAGGTTGGTTAAACCAAAATGATAAGTATTATAATAATAAAGAAAAGCATGTCATTTACATGTACATGTACATATACTCGTATAATGCTAATTAATTACCTGTACTGTTGTCGGAGATATTATCAGACTACAGATTTGATAATTTATCATCGTTATAACGAAGAAAGTAGAACGTGTATTTGTTGACAATACCAATTACAGTACGCCATGTTGATATTAATATGTTCGTAAATACCTGAAAATATCATCTTGTATTTCATTGTTAAAACAATCAAAATATGAGTTAAAATATATGCATTCAGTTCTTACTCAGACTTTATAGAAAATTAACTTTTTATTACCTCCCTTTATTTACATGAAAACATATGTTTTTCAAAACACATGAAACACATATGTTTTACATATGGAAAACATATGGTGTACCAAACATACAACAAACATGTGGTGCATTTTTACCTGTGCATAATAATAAAAAGTCGGTAAAATAATACGTGTGACAGTTGTCCTTTCATTTATAGCAATGAATGAAGGATGGAAAAACTCCCAGGTAAACTTCAAGTTTCAAGTTTATTAAATATATCTCAGTATGTAACATACAGAGACACGAGAACAAATTCTAATAATACATGTAATCACAAAGGACAACTTTTATTTAAGATCTTGAAGAAATTTATACGAAAGGTAAAAAAACACTTCAAATGCTCGTCTCAACTTCACACTCACAGTATGAAGTAAATACATGTATATAATATAATGTTTTTTATCCACAATTGTTGACGAATTGTTATGTAACCCCCTGACAATGAATATTAATAATTATTCATACAATATTAAGTATATTATAAGCCGTATTATGGCGGTTTCTCCACAGCTGTGCTCCGATCTTATTTGTCTCAGTTGTTATTTTATACATTATCCTGTACGGTTCGTTTTATAATATTGCAACTTTATATCTAAACCAAACTATAACATCTTTGTCAAGGGTATTTTTGACATTTATAATTTATTTCGTGACATTGTAACTTAAAGAATGTGATACCTAAGAACCAAGGCATAAATATTTTTCTTTCTTTATGAAACATTGTAATAATACCCCTCTCATAAAATCCAATTGCATGGATGCTATTATTTTCAAACGGTTTCAAAATACATGTTTGTGTAACATTCTTTAATGACAATGTAAATCACACAACTTCCTGATCACAACTTCCTGATTTATAAAAAATAGTTATGGATCTGTTGGCGGTTTTTTTTTTCTTTATTTTATTTTGCAATTGATATTCAGTTAGTTGTTTTCATAAGAAGAGAACAAATAAGGCGTTGAACAATAAAGGATTAAAATCAAGATGAATTAAATACAAAACAAAACGCAAAACAAAAATGTCGATAAAAATAAAGGCAGAACATTTATTGTAGGCGTTACTCTTATTTTATATAGTTTTCAAAAATAATTAATTAAGTTCGATTTATCTCAAAATCATAAAATGTAGACATGAAAAACAAGCAATGTATAAAACAGACATGACGGGAAAAACATAATGAAATCGTGATACTTTAATTCGTGTCAATACTTGGTGACAAACCGTATTTCTAATAGACAACGCCTTTTATTACGTCTTAGATAAACACACTTTAACGTGTCTCACCGGTCGTGTAACCGGATACCTTTTATATGATTGGTATGAATCGGTCATGAAATTAGTCAACCGACCTCTTTTTTATGGTGTAAACATATTTACTTTTACATAATTCTTTTTTCATACTTTTCTAAATGCATTCCATCAAAAGTATCAACATGATTAAATAAAAAAGTAATATACTTTTCCCCTTTAAACGCCGAAATACAGATTATTCTAGCTATGAATCATAGCTTCGGTTATCAGGGGGTAAAACGTATAGAAGTACAATACTTTTTAAGCGAGTTGAAAAGGTACGATACGGACGAATATATTTGATAAAATTAGAGTCATTTACTAATAGAAAATTTGGTGTGGACCATTCGGGGCTCTCAGTTACACATGTTATCTGGTAACATAGGCGTTTAGGTTCTATAGTGAAACACTTATTGAATGTAAATTGGCAGTAATTGATTTTGTGTCGGTGAAAAACCCATACGATCAAAACCCAGATCGTGAATGTTAGTTGCTATTTCTATTTGCAATTTATGTAAATACTCATTATTTAGTTGCATAGCAAATACTTTTGTGCAAAGATATTTATTGACGTCTTGTTGTCCAAATATTTATGTGCACGATGGGTTAACTGTACGCTACAAAAGGTTCACTAATTTTGAAGGTAAAAATAACTACTTAAAATACCAGTATATATACCATTAACAATCTTCTATAAATGACTTAGGATCTTGCTGAAAAGTTGTCGGTCTTCTTTTGACTGACGTCATTTACCTTCCTTATACTTGTAAATACTCACATAATGTTGTTACCTTTATTTCAACAATAACTAGAATCTTCCCTTTGATCTTAGAATTTTATCATAAGTTGTTCATTCAAACCTGTAGATTTTCTCTCCTTTCTAGTAAATAACTTCAAATTCTATGCAGGTTATCAAAGAGCAAAACAGAAATTTCATTCCCATTACTAAAAGTTTTAAACAAACATCTCTTGAAAACAATAGTGTACTTTAAATACAAGGCAGTTATAATATGTATATCCATTTGGATTATTTGCAGTTCGAATGTACAATTCCGTGATGCTACAAATTAAGTTCTTTTTCGTATATATTGTAATTTCTATAATATATACAAATATAATATACATGTTTACATATATAATATATGTATGTTAATTTCACTAAATATTTACAATTGTTGGATAGTAAAATAGATGTAAAGTCTCTTCTTGTTGTTGTTGGTTTTTTTAGGGGTTTTTTGTTGTTGTTTTTTTAAATTTCTTATAAAATCATTATAAAATCTTCATGTATGGTTTTTTCTTTCAATGTCTGGCTAACTGGTGGAATGTCCTGGTGAAAATGCTTTTTGCTGCTAAATATCATACAACATTTTTCTCATTCATACTGGTTTAAGACTATTCTCGGGCAATGTTTTCTATAATAAATTTTAAAGGCACACATATTGAATGCCTATGGGCACTGCCGTGTTTCTGTCTAAAGGGCCCTATGTTAAATAGGGTTCGTCACACACATTCCATAATTTTCAGTTTGAAGCCGTGTCTAGAACTAAGTTATTTCCACAGCTATTGTTACTGAAAAGAAAAACACATCTCGATAAAGTCTTCCAAAGAGGTGATTACATTGTATCAGACAAGGAAGAATTTTTTCCCGATCAGAAGTTTCCTTGTGTCTATTTTCGAAATGTATAACCATACACATATAAGTATGCTGTACTTAATTGTTCATTAAATGAAACTGCTTTTTTCAAGATACCGGTAACTAATTGATAATGCGCAGAGAACAGAAATAAGTCGATCATGCATGAAAATCCATCGTAAGGAGCCAAAATGCTTGCGTACAGTTAGTTTATCGAACCAATTATCATGCGTTAAGTAAGAAATACGGATATAATGTAGATATATGCGGAATAGATGACAAACATTTACGTGCATTAAGTTTTGCTATAAATAATAAACATTTTGTTGCTAAAAATGATCAAATATCTGTTCAAAATGTATTTATTATTGTTTTCTTTTTATTATATGCCCGAAAGAATTTCGGGCATATTATGTTATACCCCCTGGCGTCTGTCCGTCTGTCTGTCTGTCTATCCGTCCATCCGACCGTTAGCAATTTGGTTTCCGGAGCATAACTTAAGTTCCATTTGGCCCACAACATTCAAACTTCATAGGATGATTGCCCATATTGGGTAGAAGACCCCTATTGATTTTGGGGTCACAAGGTCAAAGGTCAAGGTCACTATCACCTTAAAACTGAAAAGAGTTTCCGGAGCATAACTTAAGTTTCATTTGGCCCACAACATTTAAACTTTATAGAATGATTGCCCATATTGGGTAGAAAACCCCTATTGATTTTGGGGTCACAAGGTCAAAGTCACTATTACCTTAAAACTGAAAACAGTTTCCGGAGCATAACTTAAGTTTCATTTGGCCCACACTGTTCAAACTGCAAAGGATGATTGTCCATATTGGGTAGAAGATCCCTATTGATTTTGGGGTCACAAGGTCAAAGGTCAAGGTCACTATTGATCAAGTTCACTATTACCTTAAAACTGAAAACAGTTTCCGGAGCATAACTTAAGTTCCATGTGTCCCACAGTGTTCATACTTCATAGGATGAATGTCCATATTAGTAGGAGACCCCTATTGATTTTGGGGTCACAAGGTCAAAGGTCAACGTCACTATTACCTTAAAACTTAAAACAGTTTCCGGAGCATAACTTAAGTTCCATTTGGCCCACAATATTCAAACTTCATAGGATGAGTGTCCATATTGGGTGGAGACCCCTATTGATTTTGTGGTCACACGGTCAAAGGTCAAGGTCACTATTACTTTAAAACTGAAAACAGTTTCTGGAGCATAACTTAATTTCTATTTGGCCCACAATATTCAAACTTTATAGGAGGATTGCTATTGGAAGGAGGTAATACTTTATTTAATTTATGTAATGTCTTAAAAATGCTTCATCCTTAATATAAAAAACAACATTTTCGGACATATAATGCTCCGCCTAGCGGTGCTCTTGTCATAAGTATGTCATGTTGCCGGTTGCGTTTAAAGTAACACAAATCTTCAAAAACTTTCTCCTTACTATGGGATATATTCTTTTATTTTGACTATCATGTACAAATATATCGTCTGCACCGCATGCACTTTATTATTCGAACAAAAAGTACAACACACCACAAATATTTGAAATAAACCGACTCTTGTCACGTTCCTCCGCCACTGTTCCGTATCGTACCATTTACTTCGCTTGAAGTATCGTACCTCTATACGTTCAATCCCCTGTTATGACTATGTCAAATTTTACAAGCGTGAAACGGTCGAAATAAAGGGATCGATTGGACACCGTTTAAAATTTAAGATCGGAGAGAAACATCTCAATCATGTCCAAAAAGGAGGGGCCGGTCATTCACCTTCTATGGTCCGGTAGGTATTCGGACGGTTTCCGGTCACCTTGAGAAAACCTTTAGCATATTTTTTCAGGACAAGCTAATATTAATAAGGTTAAAGTCATCAGAATCAAAAGCTTTTGGGAATTTGTTTAATAGATACT